TGTGCATTAACATTATGGAATTGCAAATACATTCCTTGATCAAATCCAATTAAATGAGAATACAAACACAACTGTGGGCACGATGTTTGGACTTTCATAGTGAGCTGTTTAGAAATTACAGTTTAATATCAAAACTGAGTCAGCCTTCCAATAAGTTTTTGACGCCAAATAATGCTGTAAACCCATGAAGCATAGCAAATTTGACAAGTCTAACACTTTTATTAAGAAGATTAAAAGTTCAAATCCTTACATAGATCATGAAAGTTTTGAGCCCTTATCAATATGTCTTACCTCTACTTGCGCCTTATAACTATAGGACTCATAACTTTATGTTTCCCGTCAGAGTCAGACCAAACCAACTGTCCAAATACAAAATCTCTAGACTCTACTTTACTCATAGGGTGGAATGTGACTACGAATTTCTTCTCTTCACCCATTTTTTTGAATGTCAATGTCTCCGGTTTAACTGATACCGAGACTCCAGTAGGTGACTTGATACGTGCAAAGTATGTTCCTGGATGTCCAACATTCTTTGCCCTTCGAGTGACAGTCACCTCACCGCTCAATTCAGAAAGTGAAATTGAAGGGTAGTTGAAGTCTGATAAGTTGTATGACTTGGGACATGCAAATGGCTTGGTTGTGAACCTTTTGAGCAAGCTTGTGTTGTATCCCTGACCGCAGAGGTAGTTCAAGTAATCATCAATCGTCAAGTCATAAATGAGGCCAGGATCCATTGCTTGGTTTGGTGTTACCTCTCCTGCCCCATACGCAAATGGAGTTGCTGTATTGTTGGTTGAAGAATCTTTCATTGGTTGCTCTTCATTATCTAGTGTTCTTGCTGAAAAAGAAAATTGAAAAACCCATTCAGGAAACTAAGCAAGTATTTTGATATGAAAGATGCTCTGTACAGAGAGTGAAGAGAAAGGTAAGTTTGTTACCCGTAGTCATTATTGCAGATTTAATAGCTGCAGGACTCCAAAGAGAGTAGAGTGTCTTGAGAAGTCTAACAACACTGGAGACATGAGGGCAAGCACATAGGTATCCACATTGCATATCTCATCTGTTTGGATACAGAGAAGTCACATGCTATCTACACGACTTCCTAAAATTGAAACTTAGACTCCAAATAAAACAGGTTTTGATTCCTTTTCTTGCTTACTTTCTCTTCCATCTAAATAAGAGCAGGTTGAAGCTCATAGGTAGTTGCCTAAGCACTAAGAAGCTCCAATCATGCTACTTCAGTTATATATATATATATATGCTGAACACATGCAAGTGGAACATGGTTTTCGTTCAAGTCAGGGGGGAAGAAGCAGGGTAGAGGAATTGGTCAACTCATCAGGCTCATGACCTGAAGATTGCAGGTTTGAATCCTACTCACGCCTAATCACTGGAGATGCTGGACTGAGATTCTGCTCTTTTTTGATTGCATCCTAGGTAAGTCTTTTTTGCTCCCTCCCCCCATTATTGATGCAACTCAATAACCAAAAAAAGGAAATTTAATTCTAACATGATCAACTTTAAAATGAGCAAGCCGTGCAAAGAAGGCTATAAAAGTAGTGAAGAAAAAGGGCAGGGCCTGAATTCAGACCAAACTTAATGCAAAACAAACAGCCCTAAAACTAATCATTAAAAAGAACTCAATGCTCCCGCATCAGAAATCAATTCCTAAGGAAAAACAAAAACAGAGAATTCAATTCCTAAGGAAAGAAACAGAGAATTCAATTTCAATACCTTCCAAGGACAGAACTCAGAATCTTGTAATGGGAAGTTATCGCTTGATTGAGTTCAAGTGAGGTTGGCTCTGGCCCATGTGTGTGTTCTCCCAAGTACACTACATATGGTTGAAAAATAAGAAAAACAGAAAATTCAATTCAGAGAGAACCGGATACATTGTGAAAGACAACCCATAATGAGTTTTGAACAAAATAAATACACCTTTTGGACGGTTAAAGTGGGATTGAGAATAAAAGAGAAAAGAACGAGAGGGAAAAGAATTGTCATTGTTGAATTTGTTCCTTAGGTTTGTGAGGAGAAGATTGTTTCTGTTGCTTAGGTTTGTGAAGTGTGAAGAGAAGAAGATGAAATAACTAGTGCGAACAGCCAAAACCCAGGGTGGAGATTTGGGGGATAAAAACAC